CTACACGACAGTTTTCCCCCTTCAAAAATAGGCATCTTGTCCTATACAGGCATTCTGAGAAGTATTTCAGGGCTAGGAAGGTTGCACCTACTACCTGGGAAGTTCAGACACATAAATATTTTTAAATTTTATATCTTTGTGCACTCATGGGGTATTATTATTGCAACTTTTAAAGGCAGCAATGAAAAGCGCACACAGAAAAGGACCGAATTGCCTTTTCATTTACATCAGCACTATTCTTCCTACACTGGTCAGATGCTCAAGAGGTCACATAGCATGAGTCAGCCTTGTCCTGGGCTCTTTCATTCAGATCTTTGATATTCAGGTATAAAGATGGCACTTCAGTGTGTCTTGAAATTTGCTTTCAGTCTCTTGTTCCAGGAGAACAAAGGAATAAACTTGGCTGAAAAGCCTTTTATCAGCATCCTAAAAATGCTTCAGCTGCTTCTGTTGCATTATCTACCCATTGGGTTACTTGCAACAGTCCAGCTACCCACGGTAACAAAAGCAGCGCTTTGTTTCTCCATCCAGCAGCCCATTTTACCTTGATTGTTCTACACAGAATCCGACTTGTCCATCTTGCCCTGGAAAGACTTGTTTATTTTCCCCAAGACTCTAATGTAAACAGACTAAGACTTTTTTTCTGAAGATCTCCATTTTGGTGTTCCTGTTAATTAGAGTGACCATTCATACTACTTCTGTTGCTTTGTGTATTCTGAATACCTTAACATTCATGAAGCTGTAATCCTCATCTAAAGTGAATTTAGTTATGGTTTTAAAACTACCTTCCAAATAAATACATATCTGAGTAGATACATCATTCTTCATAACTTGTCATGTATTTATTAGCAAGTCTTGTTCGCTTGCCAGAATTTGCAATACCATCTGTCTTCTGATGCATATCTCCAACTAATTTATTAATAATACACATATCACTCACAAAGAAGTCAGGCTTGGCATCTGTCTACATCACACCTGTTTCAATGAATTTTTATGTAATAAAATAAGCATAAACCTTAATAAGATGGATAGAAGTCACAAACCTTTGCCTGATGTTAAATGAATCCTTTGGTACACCTCTGTAAATTTAAAATGGATTTTTTAATAATCTGAATCATATAATTGGAGTTGAGGGAGGATTACTTCATACTGTTTGCCACAATGAGCCTCACTTCTATTGTGAAATCACAGAATCATGGTAATACTGGCTGGAGGGCACGTCTTAAATTCATTTAGTCGGACTTCGTGCACGGTGCCAGCATTACATCAACATTTGGAGCAGGACTATTGCCAACACTAGAAGAAGTTGGCTGTA